GGGGGGGAGAAGCCGTTAGATTTTATATCTTATGAAGGCTCTTTGAAATTAGACATAAAAATATTATTTGTTGATTTCCATTCATTAGTAAATAGACTTTGGAAAGTATTTATTTCATCATTAAAAATATATATACTTCCTAATTTTCTTTTTTTAGCATTTCAGTAAAGTTTATGCATATTTTCTTTTTTTTTTCATGTATTACAAGGAAAGTTTTGGAGTTAGATCCCCATTAAGGAACCCAAAACATTAACATAAGAATTTGCGATGTTAATAAATAGTGCATAGTGGGTGTGTAATTGGATTTTTGGCTGGTGCCTGAAAACTTAGTACTCTCAAAAAAAAGTTATCCACATTTTATACTACCTTTGATAATTTCTTAAATGATTTACATAGAGAACTGTCTAAAAGAGGCATCAGTTTATTGCTAGTAAAAAATAAGAATGTAGATATTACATTTACAATTATTTATTATTATCCATTATTGTGCAAAAGGAAATAGGTGATTGCAGGGAAGCATGTATCCATATATCATTTCAAAAATTTATTAATTGCAGATTTATTGGTCAAAAATAGTTGAGTGGACAGAAATAGAGACTGAATTCCACAAAAAATTAATCCACTTTTTTCAGGCATTGGCTGTTCAACCTTGGTAAAGGAGTGGACACAGAACAAGTCACGTCCCGCCAGTTGCCTAAAAGTATTGGCTGTGGCAAAAACTTCCATGGAAAAGAGGCACTAAACACACAAGAGAAGGTAATATGCATGGTTGTGTTTGAGGATGTTGCCCTCCAGCTCTTTTAAGACCTTATTCTTTGAACAGCTCTCATCCATGATAACCATATTATTTGTTTGTTTATATTAGAACCATCCTGATTATTTATTACCTTTTATGCCTCAGCCATTTCCCTATCAGATTATTATGAATATGTATATTTTTCATTATACACTGACATTATCATTGATGGGCCGTTTTTATCATATGGTAAACGATGGATTCTTATTACCATTACCACCCCTCATTCCTGTTATGGCAGTGGGATTTGCATCTGCCATGGACTGGTGTCAATCATCTCTTTAGGGAGCTTTTGTGTGTGGGTATGAGGGCCCACAGGTATGGCTGGGGTGCTGGAGATCGATGGGGAGAGCCAGGGCGGCTCCCTCGACAGCTAAGGCCTGCTTAGGCCTTGTTGATGCTGGCTGTGTCTTGCTCTGCTGGAGGATCGTGAGTGCTGAACTCAGCCCGGGTGCCGGAGCTTAAGTGGGGCTGAGCTGTGCCAGCCACCTGGGAACGAGGGGAGCCTGCGGTCTAATAGGTGAGTCATGAGGTGTCCGTGGTCAACCAATCAGGTCTCGGTATGTGTCTTCGAGAAGCTGCTGATGGTGAGGGTGAGAGGACAGGCTGTGGATCTGGACCGAACCTGGGGGAAGTATGCCGCGCTGCAGGTTGCGGGGGTCGGCTACAGGTACTCCCCCTCCAGTGAGGAAGCTAAGCAATGAGGGAGCTAAGGGAGCGAGCGATAGCCGTCATACTCCAGAAGGCTGGGTATTTGTGTCACTCTGGAAAGTTACCAGTATGGCAATGGGATTTGCATCTACCATGGACTGATGTCAATCATCTCTTTAAGGAGCTTTTGTGTGTGGGTGTGTGCCCACAGGTATGGCTGGGGTGCTGGAGATTGATGGGGAGAGCCAGGGCGGCTCCCCCGATGGCTAAGGCCTGGGTAGGCCTTGTTGTTGCTGGCTGTGTCTTGCTCTGCTGGAGGATTGTAAGTGCTGAACTCAGCCCGGGCGCTGGAGCTTAAGTGGGGCTGAGCTGTGCCAGCCACCCGGGAACGAGGAGAGCACTGCAGTCCAATAGGCGAGCCATGAGGTGTCCGTGGTCAACCAATCAGGTCTCGGTATGCATCTTTGAGAAGCTGCTGATGGTGAGGGCGAGAGGACAGGCTGTGGACCTGGACCGAACCTGGGGGAAGTATGCCGCGCTGCAGGTTGCAGGGGTCGGCTACACTGTTATCACTATTTTTTCAGTAGTAGATAAGAGTGGGATTAAGTCTTTTAGACTGAAAAAGATTTTCAATCCTTCCAGTGCCTTGGGCTGCAGACACAGGCATGTGGAAGTAAATGGGGTATCCTTTGTCTTCATAATTACTGTTATCATTTTTGTGTGTTGTCACTTTAAGTGCTTAAAGTATGTGGTTAAGGTATGAAATGTCTACTGTTTATTCTCCTACACTTATATCCATGCTCACTTGCAGTTAGTGTAGCCTTGTTTATGGGCTTCAGTGCTATAAATTTTTTGTTTAAATCCATTTGTGCCACCTCCCTGACAATGTGGATATGGCCTCTGTTACTGTCAGTCAGATCTGGTATCTATATTGCTGCCTATAACTTTGATCCAATGGGTATACTTAAGACAGATAAAGGTGAGCAGTACTATATTGTAGAGAATGATATTCACAGGGTTAATAGGAAGTCACAATACATGGAGGGGTCCATATATATAGTGAGTTAATAATAACCACCATCAGGACACCCCTATGCAGAAGTTGCCCAGCAAAAAAGTTTCATGTGACCCACTGACCAACTCCAGTAGAGAAAAATAGAGAAACTCAGAGATTGCAGTGCAGGCAAAGAACATGGCCTTATGAAGAACATCTCATGGCAAGGAATTTAATTATTTAAAGCTGGCAAGTGAAAGTAGAAGATCCTTTTGGGAAATTAGAAGCTGGTGAGTGATCATGGAAATGCAGCATAGTTTATTAAACTTTTTAAAAAATATGTTGGACCATCACATCCCTGAGTTCTGCACAATGCATCCTCTGGCAGTGAGGCTGAAAAGGTAACGGAAATTTTGGGTAGGTTATCCTCCACCTCAGTACTTTCATGTTGTCATCATTTGTCCTGGCCATTGGTTATACTTCATAGATTCCAGTGACCTGGGGCATTCTGGTTATCTGCATTGACAAACTCTGGGTTCTCCAAAATGCATGGGTGGGGTTTGTGCTACAGGAGGTCTAGAATCTGAAGTAAGAATCATGATAGCAAAGCTAAAAGAATGATCTCTGTAAGTCGAGGTCCCTTTTATATGGAATCCACAAAATGTAATGTATCCCTAATATCAAGGATCCAACTGTGGATTTGGTAGTGAGTGAGGAATGGGTGCAAAAGCGGGGTGGATAGGGGATGGCAGATGTCATTTTGGCTGATAGATACTAGGTAGGACTATTCATGGTGAGGAAGATGACACCATACATGGCAGCATAGTTGAACGAAAGGCTTTGACCCAACTGGCAGTGTGGATGCATGTTTGAAATAAGGCTTCAGTCCTACTGTTGATTATTCAAAGAATGGTTTGAATGCTAGCTGTTTACAATGATTGTGCTGGGGACTGGGGAAGAATTATAGAATTTAATTGGAAAGAGCATAAAATTTAATGAAGTTATACTTTGAGCAGATTCTCTTATGTTGTTTGACATTATAGCTTTTAAGTAAAATGCAGTGTTATTGCTGAAAAGAATATTAAGTGCCATTGACAGCACATTCATTTCCAGTTAATCAAAGGTCAGATGGGAAAGTGTTGCATGGTAAGATAGAGTTGACAGAGATGGGTAGACTCTGGAAGAGGGAAGCTGATTTTCAGTGGAGTGTAACAACAGTGGCATTTCTGATTAGACTAATTTCTTGTGTCTGTTTTCTTGTGAGATATTGATGTGTTCATGATAAGAATACGGGGGATAGATATATGATTAGCTGTTGTAGAGGGAAGATGCACACTTTATGGCAGCAAACAAATAATTATTGTAATACTTGTTTTCTCCATTAATGGGAGGAAAGATGGTATAAGAAGCAGCAACAAGATATTGTGTGAGAAGCACATTACTTTGGTTAATGTACTAACTTGTTAGTCCATGTATCACCCAAATCACAAGCAGTGAGATTCTTTGTTTTAAATGATGTGATGGTACTATTGTGATGACAGGGTGAAAATCTTGCTTTATTAGAACATTTAGGATGACCATTGCTATGTTTTTTTTTCTCCTGCCTATGAGTAAGCTTCCATTGTCATTAGATGGGATTTCTTTATGGGGAAACACATTCACTTGGAAGTTTTACTGATGATATTAACAAGGTATCACTTCAAATGTATTTTTATGAGTGCAAAACTTGTTCATTATGGAATATATTGGAAATATGAAGACTGCTATAGAATATATATACAGTATGGAATATAAAAGCAGCCTACAAAGAAAATACCTTCCAATTCATAAGAATTGATATTTGACTTTTGGTATTTTTATTTATTGACGGCAAAATCTTGTTAATTTTTAGCTTAAAAAGCTACAAAAATTATCCAATCTACTGACCAGCTCACAACTTAAGGAGCTCCTCCTATTCTTCATATCCAAGAGCCAAATCAGACCTGATTATACTGTCTCTTGAGTGCACCATGTAGGATTGATATCAGGGTTGCAAACATACGGAGCCTGATATAAGAAGTGTTGGGAAAATATATCTTTCATCTTTATTTGATTATGGGCAGGCTGATTATAGTGTTGATAGTGGCTTTTGAAGGCTTTTACTTGATAGCATTATCAGAGCTATCAAATCTACACCTCTATAACTTGCAGAACAGAAAGGAGCCTACATTGTTGCTGTGTGTGTCTGTTTCTGTTGTGATCTATTCTTTAACTCTTTTTTTCTTTTCCTGCCTGTTCTCTCTCTCTTACCTTTCCATCTGTCTCCCCTCTCCCTTTCTTCCTCCCTCCCTCTCTCACTCTCTCGCTCCCCATTTCTCTCTTCATCTTTATCTCACTCTCTCTCTCTTTATTTTTCTCTTCCTTTCTCTTTATCTTTCTCTCCCTCTCTCTCTATCTTTCTCTCCCTCTCTCTCTCTCTTTCTCTCTCCCTTTCTCTCTCCCTTTCTCTCTCTCTCTCTCTTTCTCTCTCCCTTTCTCTCTCTCTCTCTCTTTTCTCCCCCTCTGTTTCTCTTTCTCTCTTTTCTCCCCCTCTGTTTCTCTGTCTCTCTTTTCTCCCCCTCTCTCTCTCTCCCTCTCTCTCCCCCCCTCCCTCTCTCCCTCCCTCTCTCTCTCTCTTTCTCTCCCTCTCTCTCTTTTATCTTTCTCTCCCTCCCTCCCTCTCTCCCTCCCTCTCTCTCTCTCTCACTCGCTCTCTCTCTCTCTCTCTGTCTCTCTCTCTCTGTCTCTCTCTCTGTCTGTCTGTCTCTCTCTCTGTCTCTCTCTCTGTCTCTCTCTCTGTCTGTCTGTCTCTCTCTCTCTCTGTGTCTCTCTCTCTCTCTCTTTCTCTCCCTCTCTCTCTATCTCTCTATCTCCCTCTCTCCCTTTATTGTCTTGTATCCTGTTCCTCAGCTTTTTCTCATGCTTAAAATAATGAATTATAGCAGTATGATACCATTTCCCTATTTGTTCTTGTACTAAGAAAATTTCCTCCATTTTTCTTCCAGGTACAAAAGTGGATGCGCAGCCTTGCTGATGAATTGTCGGAAAGATTAATGATGGATCAAACAGCAGTGAGTTTATCATAATGAGAAATTGAGTTAGGATGTTTTCTGTAAATGCCATGATAAAATTGGTCATGTTTTCAAAATTTCCTAAAAATGACTACTGAGGGAAGATGGGAAATCTTTATTGTTTACTTATATCTGAACCCATTGGTCGCGGTATTATGCAATATGGCGCGTAGTTCCCTAATTTTATTTATTTTCAACTCGGGTGGCGCATGGGACCGCACTGGAGTGTGCGCGCGCGCAATGGTGCTGCCTTGCCTCTTTTGCGCAAATATTTTGTTTACTTATATCTCAGAAAAAATAAGTATGCAAAAATCTGCAAAAACTTGCAAAAACCCTTGCAAATACATGCAAACATGCAAACATATGTAAATGCGCTCAGAAAGAGTGGCAGGCGTGGTTTTAGCACGCGCAATAGGCGAACAACTCATTTGGCGGTAAACAGCCCATCGCACACGCGGGCCCGGGGGTGGTGGGCCTGGGCCCTGTAAGGCCGCAAGGGGAATGCCGGCTTGGCGGCTGATATTCCCTGGCCCACTCAGCTCCCATGCCGCGCGGCCGCCCGCTGCTCGAAGGGGATCAGCTGTCAATTGCGCGGTGCATCATATGATGCCATCCGCAGCCAGTGGGTGAATACAAAGTGTTTAGGAAAGTGTGATTGTTGAATACTTTACTCATTTTGCACACTTTTGTCAAACTGCAGAATAAAAGAAGAGCAAAGACAATTACAGTCAGTGTAAGATTAGATGGAGATGAACGATGGACTTCCCTCTCGAGATCATGTAGTCTTCCATCATACAGTGCAGAGCGCATAACCCAAGTAGCCATCTCACTCATTCAGCACACCAATGAAGCACCACCAAAGGATTCAGTGTGGTTAGTAACTTGATATGTTATCTGAAACAGGCTTAGTAATTTTTATTTTGTATTTTTTTCATTTTTATTTTTTCTTTGCACTACACATGATGTATACTTAGTCTATACCTGATTTCTGTGGCTGAATACAACTTTTATACATTTTTAAAGTTTGACCATTTTTTTTAAAGGATGCTTAATCCATTGGTGCAGGCTGCATTTATTGTAGTTTAGTTTTAATAAACCTTTGTCTGCTCCTGTAATATATATACGAATATACTACAGAATTTTTTTTCAGTTAGCTCACCATGTATTACTTACACTACAGAAAATATCCAGCCATCTTATACTTTCTGCTTTTTGTGATGATACAGGGACATTTACATTGTTAGAAATATATATACTTGTGTTGCTCCTTAGCTTATTTATTTTTGAGGTATGCAAGAAAATGTTATGTAACTAATGCAGTATTACAACTACCCAAGTCATGGCCTTTGGACCATAGCAAGGGCCCATAGCTGTGCCTAATTATCTAAGCTGTCAATCAAAGTGATACCATCTGATCCCATGAGATCTACAATCAACTGATAATGGGATCAGTGCAGGCCTTGAGTGAGTGAGTGAGTGAGTGAGTGTGAGTGTGTGAGTGTGTGAGTGTGTGAGTGTGTTAGTGTGTTAGTGTGTTAGTGTGTGAGTGTGAGTGTGAGTGTGTGTGNTCTCGTTCTCTCTCTCTCTGCTCTCTCTCTCCAGTTTCTCTCTCCTCTCTCTCTCTCTCTCCTCTCTCTCTCTCTCTCTCTCTCTCTCTGCTCTCTCTCCTCTCTCGTCTCTGCCTCTCAGTCTCTCTGCCAGTCTCCCTCCCTCCCGTCCTCTCTCCCTCCCTCACTCTCTCCCTCTCTCCCTCCCTCTCCCTGTCACTCTCTCCTCTCTCCCTCTCTTTTTTAACTTGTTTAACTCTTAGCAAACGTCACGTAATTAACATAAGCTTGTGACTGCTAACATACCCGTTCTTCCATGAAAAACAGGAGATTTACTGGTAATCGCATTGACTTCTGAGTCCTCTGCAGTCCCTCCCTCCCTCCCTCCTTATTGAGCCTGGCAGTCCTCCCTCCCTCCCTCCCTCCCTCCCCCCTCCGCTCTCATCTCCCTCCTTATGAGTCTGGCAGTCCCTCCCTCCCTCCCCTCCCTCCCTCCCTCCTTATGAGTCTGCCCTCCCTCCCTCCCTCTCTCCCCTCTCCCTCCCTCCTCCCTCCCCTCCCTTATGCTCCCTCCCCCCTCCTCTCCCTCCCTCCCTCCTCTCTTCCCTCCCTCCTTATGAGCCTGGCAGTGTGTCTTACACCTGTACAACTACTGTGGATTTGGATTAAACTTTGATAATCCGGAATTAACTTTAAATTAAATTTAAATTAAAGACGTTTATAGCTTTATATAGCTCATGTGCACTAAAGGTATGGATTAAACTTCAATACAGTAATAAGTAACAGTAATAATTACAATAATAATATCGATAATAGTAATGATTACAATGATAACAATGATAATAACAATAACAAAAGAACATCAATAATTATGATAATTATTATAATAACAATAATGATAATAATAATAATAATAATAATAATAATAATAATAATAATAATAATAATAATAATGATAATAATAATATCAACTTTTAAGGAGTGTACAAATGACTATATAAGTAAACTAACGTATGTAAAGAAAAAGAAATCTATATTAATTCTATAAATTGAAAAGATAAGATGAATCTGAGCTTTATTAATAATATAATAATTATATAATAATAATGATAATATAAAGATAATGATAATGATATTATAATAATAATGATGATGATGATAATAACAACAACAACAACAACAACAACAACAACAACACAACCAACAACAACAACAACAACAAACAACAACAACAACAACAACAACAATAATAATAATAGCAAGACCAATAATAAAATACGTATCAGGATTTAAATGCAATCAAAATAAAAGTAATAATAATGACAAAAATGCCGATAATAATGATAATAATAAAAAAAAAATATTTTATAATTTTTCACACGAATCACAAGACCGCTCCTCGCCTTGTTACGAATAACAAAGAAAGCGAAAAAGAATAAGAAATAGAAATAAAACAGAAAACGCAAACGAAGCAGAAACAGATAATTGAGAACACCAACCCTTCCCTTTGGTCAGAGATTCCTGGTCAGCTGAGAGCAAAGCGAGATTCGACGTGACAGTTCGCCAGGTGTGATGGAGTCAAAATTCGTGTGAGAAATGGCGTTTACCTTTCATCACAAAAAATATTTTATCATATTTTACGAGGTCATTTTTTTTTCTTTTTTATCATATTTTACGAGATCAATTTCTTTATCATAATTTACGATGTCCGTTTCCGGGATCGTGTGTCTATAACCCCTCTCCTACTTTCTTATCAATGACGATATTTATCATAATTATTTGATTTTATCTTCGTTGAAGTATGCACATGTAGATACATACATGTACACTTATGCTTACATTCATAATTGTGTGTGTGTGTGTGTGTGTGTGTGTGTGTGTGTGTGTGTGTGTGTGTGTGTGTTTTTGCGCGTGCGTGTGCGTACTGCAGTTACATACATGCACACCCAATTCTTTACCTACATCATCTATTTACACACATATTTATACACAACAGCCATAATGCATATCTAATATTTACGTGTGGTGACGTACTTCAAATACCTACATTTTTTCTTTTCTTTTCTTTTCTTTTCGTTTTTATTACCATTATTTATAGATCCTCATTATAAGAACCATCACCAGTGTAATTTACCGTCGTTTTAGAGTGTTCCTTCCACTACCTATTACCTCCGTCGCTCCCCAATGTCAATGTTAACTACAGTGTAAATATTATATTTTGCGGCTAATTCCCCCCTTTCGTGATATTCCCTCCTTTCGTGTGCCTCTTCCTATTCTAGTTTTGCGAAAGATTGCTGTAGTTATCATCTTCCAGTATTTTTGTGTGTTTAGTGGAGAGTTACGTGGAAGGGGGATACGTGTGTTTAGAGGGACACGGGTGTATAATAAGTCTTGGTAATTGTTCGATCCGGTAATGGCAATAATTTTGATAAGTATGATGCTATATTATGCCACGAAATTTGTTTACTTTTTTGGGGATTTCGTTTAAGTTTTCTTTGTCTTTGAATGAATGTTGGTAATAGGTGAGGATAAAGGGGTAGTTTATGTAAATGCAACTGCATGAGTTTTTTAGTGTCTAAATAACACACACACACACACACACACACGCAACTGCACGAGTGTGTCTAATTCACACGCACGGCACACACACACACACACACACACACACACACACACACACACACACACACACACACACACACACACACACACACACACACACACACACACACACACACACACACACACACACACACACACACGCAAACGCACACACGACACACTTTCACAAAACATTATCATAAACACCCACCTGCATGTGTTTCCCTTCAGGACACAGCCGTGGGAAGGTGCAATTAATCTGACGAAATGACGGAGATAAAATAATAAAAATTGTCAGCCGTTTAGCTTAAATAACTATCCTAAACTTAACGGCCATTGAACCAAATCGGAATATTAGGAAATCATGAAACGTGCTTTGTTCAACATTATTTGATGTACAATGCAAAATCTATAATTTTGCAATTCATAAAATGTCTATGTAACAATAACACAATTTTACACTTTTCCGTCGGTTTTAATTCATGCATATATTAACCAGCTCGTTAATGACAGATCCAATGTAACTCTACCATAATCAAAATTATTCTGATATAGTTCTAATAATGAATGGTTATAGATCTAGTGATTGCAAGATGTATGTAGGTAGAGGTTTGCAACATTATCACTGCCAAAGACACATAATTCTTGTAGGTGTAAGTTGATGAATTTTATGACCTTTATAAGACTTTTTAAGACTCCTACCAATTGTTTTTATTTTTAAGACCTGGAGCCACTTGTCGCTAAATACACACTTCTTCACTTATTTGTCGTGTCAGTGACCCAAGAATTTTTATAAAATCACCCCGACGTGATTTTTACACAGACCTTTTATTATTATTATCATTATTATCATTATCATTATCATTATCATTATCATTATATTATTATTATTATCATTATCATTATCATTATAAATCGCGTCCACCGGGGTCAGATATATGTACATTTACACGAACTAAGAAAAAAAAAATATTGACTCGAACTAAGAAATAAATAAAAAAAATAATAATAAAAAATAAATAAAATAAAATAAAAGAATTCTCGAAAGTATGTCGAAAGCACGCTTACGATTGAAACAAGTGGATGATGGGACTTTTTAATTAGCGATTTCGGAATTAAAAACATCTATTCGATTAGTCCACTTTGGCTTAACTCTCACATGTAGTGTTTACCCGTGTTGGAAGATGGGAATTAAAAGGTATTATTCAAAATCAAAAAGAAAGAAAAATGTGTAATAGTAGTTAGCTAACACTCAAATAAACACACAGTATATAGCGGGCTACTTGGGGACACTACGCATGAGGTTAAAATAATAATTAAATAATTGAATTATAAATTGATTAGATTACACTTCACTTCATTAAGTTAAAAAAAAAAATAATTAACTGAATACTGGTAAGCGCCATCACCTAGGAATATTCATGAGGTCTTAATTTTTTTTAACTCACACATTAATTCTTTTTAATTCACATATACAATTCCCAGTAATATGGTATAAGGGAGAGAAACCCGTGACAAAAATAAATAACAAATAAATAACAAATAAATTAGATAAATAGATAGATAAATAGATAGATAGAAAGATAGATGGATGGATGGATGGATGGATGGATGGATAGATAGATAGATAGATAGATAGATAGATAGATAGATAGATAGATAGATGATAAATAAATAAATAAATAAAATAAAAATAACAATAAAAGATAAAAATAAATAAATAAAATAAAAACAATTATAATAAATAAAAATAAATAA